GAAGAGAAATACACCAATCATGGAGAAGAATGATAGCCACAAACAGGAAAGTGACGTATAAAGAGAATGAAAGAGACTGGCAAAGACAAAGTGAAAGTGAAGAAAGACAAAAAGAAATGTAAGTTGGAATTAGTTTTAAATGTACAAATATATAAAATGTTAACGTTTATTGTAAAATGTCAACGTTTAACGAAAAATGTCAGTGTTTAATGTAACAATTATTGGTTTTAATACAGGAATGTTTTAAAATTAATATTGATTGTAATTGGAATGAATTATTGGAGGATAGACGGAATAGAAAGAAAGAACATTAAAATAGTATGAATTTTATAATTTATTATCGTAGGCATAAGAATTTTAAAAATATTGTCGGTAAATTAAGTTTGTTTGAATTTTATTTAGAATTTGTTTGTCAAATACCTGCTGAAGAGGGACGTACAAGTCCGAAATGCAAATTGTATGTGTCCAGGTAATTGTAAAATAAAACAATTTTAATCTGTGTAACTGTGAGGCTGTAATCTTATACACCAGTATGATAAGTCCTATTAATAGAAATACACTGATATAGTGATTGAAAGAATAATTTTGAGTAAATTAAGGACATTATATTTTATTAATTAATATGCATCTAACATTTTTTCCATCTAAATTATTAAATGTTTCAAATGCTATTATAAAATCACAATCAAGTTGTATAGCTACACATTTCATTAATTTAACATAATATTGCAATCAAATCCTTAATTATCTACCTTTATCTATTCAGCAGAAGAAATACACAAACTAAATTTTTGATTTGTATCATCATGATGGAAATACCTATAAACCAGGGATTCCCAACAGTGTCAATGGACTTTTGAAAGGGGTTGATAGAGCTGAAAGGTTCAATTGAGGTTTGATGGAAAAATCAAATGATTATTGTATTTTCTTGAGAATTTCAGATAATTTGCAAATAATAACAATCATGTGAAAATTCATTAACTGATTTATATCAAGTAAATTATTATTACATAAAATCTTGGAAAATAACACTAAAAAATTTAAGACTGTTGATTGAAGAGAGTATTTTCTATATGGGGTCAATGAAAGAAAAAAGTTGAAAACCCCTGCTATAGACAATTCAATTAAAAAATAATGTTGACAATCACAAAGATTCATTTGAATTTTAATCTGGCAAAGTGAATAGGCATGATATCTATGATTTATCCAGTAGCAGTAATTTATAGTTAGCACGTGCATGCACATGTATATAGTATTACTGTGAGACAAATACCATATTTCCCATAATAATTGCCCACGGGCAATTATTACAGGAAATATGGCAATTTTTCATTTTTGGTGGGCTATTATTAAAGTAAGAAAAAATATTGATGTAAGAAGACAAACAGCATGAATCAAAAATGTAAAACTAATGTAAGAACCAATGTAAAGCTAATTAAATTAGAATATTGTGACAAATCTAATCGAGTCTTCTTCATTTTTCCAACTTTATTGAGGCAGAGCATTAGTGAAGCCTCTTCTATGTGGCTTACAGAATTGTGTCATTCTCATAATCTGTTTAATCAATTTTTGATTAAATTTTGCTATTTTCCATTAATTGCAATGAGGAATCCAAAAATGTAATAAAAATGGGGGGTTGTGACTTTGTTTTCGAGATATAAGATTGTTTCACAAGCACACATGACAAAGTGATGTTGTGCGATGTTTCACAGTCACCAGCATATCTTCTATGGGCTTAGAGAATCAATTTCATTCTCAAATTTTAATGGGCCAAATTTGATAAAATTTTGCCATTTTCCATTAATTGAGACAAGGAATCCAGAAATGTAATGTGGATCCATTTAAATGTAAAAAATCATGCAACAAGTTGCTTAACTTTCCCAGCAATATTTAAAATTACCTGTGTGGTGCCATCTGTTACAATATTTCAATAAAAACTTATATTTTTAATTATTATAAAATGGCAAAAAGCATAATTTTGAGTGTAGGGATGAATTTTATAAAAAAACTAGATTCTAATAATGAATAAAATCGTCATTAAGTCAACCCTACTCAAGAAACAACACATGAACTCTTATATCTTCCACCCCATCAACCTTTAACCACCAAAATTTAATAGCATCAATTTCCCTATACACAAACATCCCTGTAAAATTTCAGATATTTTCAACAAAAAGCACAGGAGTTAAGCTTCAAAGAGGGTGAAGAAAATTGTGCCTCCCCTACACACTAACATCCACACATACAGAAAAACTCCTAGATTTATTTTTGCATTTCTCAACATTTCAAGGTGCCCAGTCCAAAAATATAAAAATCATTGGTGGGATCATTTTTTGATCTATCACCATACTTTCCCATTATATATAACAGAGCTGGGAAAATAAAAATAGGAGCCCATGACTTTGTTTTTGATGTACAGAAGTATTAAAGTGACAATGCCTATGCTTTCTGATGTAACCGAGTGCATCTAATGGGATTTAGGCATAGGTGTCAAAAATAAAAACAGCATTAAGTGCAAATAACAGAAAGGAGGTGCAAAAAAATAAACTAACACAAGAACAAAACAATTGATGATGACTGCTTTGTTCTTGGATCACATCTTTATGTCGACAAGTGCAAGGATTCTCTCCCCCATAGCCAGCAGGTACAAGGATCACACCTTGTGTGCCTAACAAATGCAAGGATTGCTTCTTTCTTTTTGGCTCCACCTCAATTCTATTGCAATAAGACAAAGACACACAATGTCCTAGTTGATATAATATTTTTGAATATCAGTCAATTATTCGATAATACGAGGGGGCTTCAAAAAGTTCATGGAAAAAGTATAGTATGAAAAAACAATTTCAGTTATGATGTTTATTTTTCAAGGTTTGCTCCATTAAGGTCGATACACTTCTGGAAACATTGATACCAGCCTTTAAGTTTGTCTAAGTAGAACTGAGGGCCTTATGATCTGACCATGTCAGAGCAGCTGTTTTTACATTTTCAAGTGATGGAAAATTGCTACCTTTCAGCAACTTATTTATTTGCAAGTTGTTGACTTCTTTGGAGCGTTATTACCATAAACTTGTTTCAGAGCATCTACGATTTGCCTATTCTCCCAACCAAGTTTCACCATGAACTTTATATTTGTTCTGGTCACGATTTTGGTGGATTTCATGTTGCTTGAATGGTGCTTGACTTTCAACTGGCAGCGCTGCATTCTTACCTGCATTTAAGGGTTCATGTTTGAACATGTTATAAGATGTTGGTACAAGAATGTTCAGGTGCATTGAAATCAAAATCCTTCCAAACAATTTTTAGTTATGGACTTTTTCCACGAACTTTTTGAAGCACCCACGTATGTATCACCACTAATGTATTGGTATTTAGGTCAACTGATTTAACTTATCTAATAATACAAAGTTAGAAGGACCATTATTAGAATATGAGTATTATTACAGGAAATATGGTATGTAATTACAAAATAACTTAGTCTGACTAGCTACTATTTAAAGTGGCTGCAGAGAATTGAGGTAACTAGGCTTAAAAAAGCCAAATATATGACTAATAGAAGGAAGATTAATAAAAATGTACAAATATTTATTCCGAATGTTAAATGCGATTTATAATTTTTTTTTTTTTTGCATTATATACACATATACATCTGTCCATAATGCAAAAAATTGCATTGGTTCACAGCTGTCCAATTTTAAATCATAAATAGTAATAAAGATAATTAATGGATTGATATAAGTTCTCTCTTCTGATAGTTGACAAAAACAATTTTCACTTCATGCCAGGAATGTTATATAGCAGAGAAATCACATCTAACTGATGTTAAAAATGTGTATTTATTAAAAACTGAGTACTTTCCATGACATACAGCCTTTGTCATTAGGCAAAAAATTGAACAAATTCTCTCTTCTGCAAGAAACTGGATGTTAATTGGGATATGATACTTTATTGGAGAACAAGATAAAAAGAACTGCTACTGGATAAAATGCATACAAGAATAAGCAAGGAAAAATAATTTGTAACAGCAATATATTAAATGCTTGAAAAATTAAATACTAAACAAAAAAAGTTATGTATAGACCTAAAAATTTTACATAATGATATTCCTTTCATAACAATTAACATTCTTACAAGAATTTTGAAGTAAATTAACTAATTAATTAGTTAACATGGAACATTTTAAATTGAGAATTGATTTTTAATCTTAAAGATAAAAAATCAACATTTTAACTTTAAAACTAACCTAATTTAAGAGGAATCCAATCTTCACCAATAGTAAATTTTTTCAGTTGTACTAATAAATAATCTGGGAATGTACGAAATCGAGTTGTTCTAAAACAGAATAAATTGATGATGATTATTATTAGATAAATGTAAACAATTTTCCTAAACATGAAAAAAACCACTTACTTTTGTGCTGTGGATTTACTATTTATAGCTGAACTATAAAAATCATCAACCATTTCTGAAGCAGCAAAGGTTTCTATACAGGCAGTCAAAGGAATAAATGGCCGAACAATTTCACTTGAATCTCTATAATATTGAAATATTTAGAGAAAATAAAGTCAAAATAAAAAATTACACTTTCATCACATGTCCATACATTTTTTCTCCTTTTGCTTCTTTTTCAAGTTTTTTTAACTGATATTCTTCTAGTTTCTCTATTAAATAAAAACAGTTATAAAATAAATTTTATAAAACTAATACATTTTCAAGTAGCCTCCCAAAAGATACTTGCATGCTGAAAAATTCAACAAACCCTTATTCAAAGCAGCATTCATTGGTATAGGAAGAGATAATAAATATTCTGTCCTTGTAGTATATTTTACTTTTCCAGATTGTAGACACTGTATTCGTTCTTCAAATTGATATTTAAAACAGTCAGCTGGATTCTCTTGATTACGATTATTCCGCTTTTAATATAAAAATATCCATTATACACTTAAATTCAGTGATACTATATTAAATCCATTATACACTTAAATTCAGTGATACTATATTAAAATAATAGAAAAACTCATTACCTCTAAAATATTAATTAAATGCAAAAAGAATTCTTGGGCATCTTGCTGTCTTTTTGTAGAAAATTCTGGATGACCTTTACCAATAAGATTTTTAAACATTTGAGGCCTAATTTCTATTTGACTCTATTAAAGAAAAGGTAAAAATGATAAACTTGAAAGCTGATAATTATATCACAATTTCTTTATTATAATTTCTTATTAACTACAATTGGTTCAAATGACTGGATCATTGATGGAATCTTAGTTAAACAATTCTCACATTTACAACAAAAATCCTACCATTTATAACTACAAAAATTTTTAAACACTTTACATCATAATACAATATTGTAATAATGACAACAATATATTTTTTATAATAACTTAAAACATCCCAAATTTTTGTATTCTTTGACAAATACTATTTCAAAATCATCAATAATAAAGATATAAAAACTAAAAAGTAAAAATTTTAAGAAGTTTGACTCACAAATCATCTAGCTAGAAAACAGTATTCATGTTTATGTCCATCTGTTTTAGAATGATTTTAAAATTTAAGTTTTGAGAAAACAAACAGTCATTAAATAAGAACTAACTATATATAAAGATATTGTTAAGAAAATAGTAAATAATTTTAAATATTTCACTAAATTAAATACTTGCTATTGATTGTGTTTGTAATTGAACAAAATTACAACTTAAGAGTCTTTAAAAAAATAAAATAATAAAAATAAATAAATAAAATAGAAAGAAGCAAGACAAAGATCATATAGCCTCAAAATATAGATCTAGCTAGGTGATATATAATTTGTATTTTCTTATATTCTATTAAAGAGGTTAATGTGAATAGAATTTCAAGAAAATCACAAATTCCTGAAAGGAATAAAATTAAATAAATTGATTTTACAAGTTCATAAAAAAAAGGATAATTGCAATTTCTACATTTATCATAATTTTCATTCATATTAAACAGAAAATTAAACAATTTACAATAATTATAATTATTTGCTTTTTGTCCAATATTGTAATAAATCTTCTGAACAACTATAATGTAATTTGTTAAAATTTTAAAAACTCATCACACCACAGTTTTCAATTAGAAAGCTCAGAGATTTTATTAAACCAATATATACATTTTGGACCATATACCCTTCCTCAGTTGGTTATAATTCAAGTGTTTTCATATTTTCCAATTTGTAGTACATATGTCAAATACAAATCTACCATATCTACTGTACATGTCATAGAAATTAGGAGGATGTTACAGATTGTGAATTAAAATTTATTGTATTTGACAAATTTTAATTCACAATCTGTAACCTCCTCCTATTTTCTATGACATGTACATATCTATTCTGTTACAATATTTACATGTCATAGAAACCAGAAGAGAAGCACATATTGTGAATTAAAATCTAATGTCAAATACAAATTGAAAAATATGAAAACACTTGAATCATAACAGAGGAAAGATATATGGCCCAAAATGTATATATTAGTTTAATAAAATCTGAGCTTTCCAATTGAAAACTGTGGTGTGACAAGTTCTTAAAATTTATAGCAAATTACATATAACTGTCCAGAAGATTTAATTTGTAAATGACATTTGATAATCTAATGTTTCATATCATGAATCATCAAAATTCTTCCTAAATATTATGGACTAACCTTATTTTCGTTTGAATCTTCTGGTGGTGGTTTTGAATATTCACCTGATAATAATCCATGTGCAAGTTTAGCCCTAAAAATAATTAAATTGTACTTAAATATTAATGCAATTATTGCAACTATTAAAAAAACTACTAAAAATGTGATATCATATTTAAAAAAATTGTTACCTATATAACAAAATTATTAAATCATAGGAACATTAAATTTTCAAATTAATAACAAATACAATGCTATATTAAATATAAGGCCTGTAAAGAAATGAACACACTTTGAAATTTGTGTATAACTTCATACAATGTTTGTTTATGCCAATTTAACAATTAATAAGCTTATTATTATAAATTATTATTCATAAATAAAAATATTCAAATTCTCTTCTTATATATCTTCTGAATAGTGAATTAATATAAAAATTATAAACAAATCTGCTGTAAAATAATTATACATATAGTGTGTATTATTACATCATACAATTGAACGTACTTCATAAGCAATATGCAAATTAAAATGCACACCATTTACCATCTCCATAATGGTGGTACCAAAAACATTATGACTTAAGTTTTTACAAAATGCCACAAGGAAAAGAACTGAGTTAAAAAGAAATGAATTATGTATCATGGACAATGGAAATCTTAGACTGCATCATTTCTGAAAAGATGTACTGCTATAATTCAAAATATTGCTAAAAAGGTGACCAATATAGGATAAACAAACAAGAAATCAGAAATAAGCCCTATATGATAGAAGGAAAAGAAGAGTCTTCCATCTTGCCACCTCACAAAAGGAATGTCTACATGTACCATTGCTGCTAGTTTGTCACCATAAGTGTCATATGCAACAGTAGCTAATAATTGAAAAATAACGACAATGTTGTCTATATTAAACTCATGCAAAACCTAAGCTTACAATTACCTGAAACAAAACAGACTAGAATAGAATTCGTTTATAATAGAAGGAAAAAAAATCAATAATGAGTTGGTCTGACAAATGAAAAAAATGTGGTGTTTTCAGATGAAAAGAAGTTTAAATTGGATGGACCAGATGGTAATAGATATTATTGAGATGATTTAAGAAAGCAAACGAAGGAATATTTTAGCAAACAGATGGGAGGTGGTAAAGTCATGATTGTCATTAAAAGCAAATACTGACCAAAAGCAATGTCATCATAATTAATGATATTTTGATATTTGTCTGAAGTCATTCTATGTTATTTTTTTACATTTGGACCACTGATTAGATGAAATGAATGGATATTCCAGCAAGACAATACTCCCTGTCATAAATCTACATCTACCAAACTAGTTTAAACAAGAAAAAAATAGATGTAATGAACTGCCATTGCATAGTCAAGACTTAAATCCCATAAAATATGTGGGCAATGCTTTCTGAAATGGTCTAAGCTAACAAACAATACACAACTGCTGATGAACTGACAGTTGCAATTTATAATTGTTGGGATAAAATAAACTTACATGAACTGCAATACTTGTCGGAAACAATGCCTAATAGGATTTACAAGCTACTTCAAAACAAAGAAAATTATATTATTAAAATTTCATGTATAAGGGCAAATTTACTGTGTGTATAATTATTTTATAGCAGATTTAGTTGTAATTTTTATATTAACTTACTACTCAGAAATATGAATATTTTTATTTATATATATGATGTATTTGTGAATAGTTATTTATAATATGCTTATTAATCATTAAATTGGTATAAACAAACATTGTGACATACATACACTTGAAATTTGTATATAATTTCTTCACAGGCCTTACATAATTCATTTTAATGTTCAATCAATACACTTTTACAATATACTGTTTAGTGTTACTTTATCATCAGATATTGTATTAATATTACAGTTATGTTGTGTTGTAATAAAAATCTTCAGAGAGACACAAAGCATCATTATTATTTTTTGTTGTTTAATTTACTTTTTGTAAAATGTTAATTTTAAGCTTCTTAATAAGATTGTAAGAGTTTGAAAAAGTTATTTAATATTCAATAACAAAATCTTAATAAAATTTCTCAAAATTTCAACTGTAGTATAATAGTAAATGAATAACTTACATTTGGCTGGTAAAATCATTTGATGGATCTAAAGGTGCATTCTGAAAAATTGCAGGTGCACCATCATAATATTTTCTACAAAAATCAGGAATACAAAACACCATCTGCATCACAGAATTAAGATAACATGAATTTCCTAAGTTAGCTAGTCCTGTGTATCCTGGTCCATACAATGGTGTTAATTCACTGCCACTTTCTTGTATAATATTCCATTCACGGATGCGTTGATTAAGATCAATTTCTAATTCAATCATTGATTTATCTGTCTAAATAATAAATTCAAATTAATAATAAATTAGGAAAAAGTAGCAAATTCAAAATTTAATATTTTATTCCATTACCTTTTCCATTTGGGCAATATTGATACCAAAATGAGCAAGATGTCTGGCAAGATTAGGATCTTCCACCATATCATCTTCATCATAAGAATAAACATCTGTTAAATAAATTTTCAAATAAGTAACTAATAATAATAAATTAAAACACACAAACAATGGAGTATATACCTCCACCAGCTGCAGTAATTGTGCCTAGTTTAACTACTAATGGATATCGAGTTTTTTCATAATGTTCAACAGCATGATTATTCCCTCCTGTGCCATCTTGATATTTTCTACCACACATTATACTTCCATCTGTCAAGTTGAGCCAAAGATTATCAGTTTTATCACACAGCTGACATTTCCAACCTTTTGGAGGAATTTTAACTCCATTGTCTAATTGCATCAATGAATTTGCATGTCTACATATAAATAGATGCAAAAATAAAATGTTAGTTGATAAACCAAGCTTTACTGTTTTGCACAAATATGTAATGTTATATGAATCTGAAATTTTCATATTGAAAGACAATTTTTTTAATTTAAAATAATAATATTAATTTGAAATATAGCATTAATAGAAATTCTGATAAATGCCAATTCAGTGTACTACACTGAATAGGCATTTGAATAAATATCATCTTAATTACTAGAATAAATTTTTAATAATTTGAAATTATTAATAGTAAATTGATCATTTTTATTAATTAAAATAATTTGCAAATATAAAGCCAAACTATTTGCTACATTTTTAGGCCAATTTTTAATTAGTTTTAAAATCAATTCATAACTAAAGATAATCTGGAAGTTTAGATTCATATAATTTACTTTGAAATTTTTCTTTTCTCTCCATCCCAAGTTCCTGAGAGTGCCTGAGCTTCTTCAATTTTAGCAGCAGAGTCACTTGCTAATATAGTATTTATAGACAATTGCACCTAAATAATAATATGCACATATTTAATATCTAAATTAAAAAACAAGATTATTTTTGACATTACACATTACAAAAAGTATACATTACTTGTTCTGGAAGATCTTCACAAGGAAAAGGAATTTGTACAAAATCAGGAAGAACTACAACAGAATAGAATTCTTCAAATTCATATTTTTTCTCATTCAAATCAAATCCTCCTTCAATACCTAAAATTATAAATAATTTCATATAGTTTTGAAATTGTAATTACCAATTTTACTTAGAATAAATATTACCAATTGCAAGTTTTGTAGGTTTTTTGTTTTCTGAGTCATTCTTTTGTGGTGTAATCTGAAATTTACAATACAAAACTTTAAACATAAAATAAAAATAATGTTAAGATACTATTAGAAAATGTTTAAATAATTAAAATTATTTTAATTACATATTAAAAATTTCTCAAAAATCAAGCAAGTAAAAAAAATGTATTAATTAAAAGATGACATTTCATCATACATAAATGATTTCAATCATTAGTTCAAACTTGATATTTAATGCAGATGAATAATGTTATAATTTTAGCAAATGTTTTATTATGTAAGGTCTCAGTTTGTTTTAATTAGTGGCGGCGCTGTTGTTGCCGCAGATCGCCATGTTGTTTTCTGTTGTTCATCCTTCTCGCTGCATGTTAAAGCTGGTAAGCTTCTAAAATTAAATTATTTATTAATTAATTGCGTTATAATCATTTTAAATATACCTAACNTACAGTAAATTTGGCCTGAAGAAGAGCCCAGGAGGGGCATCGAAAGCGTTTGCCAATCTTTGTTTGGAGTTTTCATGCCGGATATTGGTTAAGAAGTAAGCATATTTACTATTATTTTCTCCAATTTACATGAAGAGTGTGCATGCATACAACAATCTGCATTGTACTGTACACTATAAAAAAGTTTAATTCCTTATGAATATGGATATGGTCTTATGTGTGAGGTCTCATTTTGTTTAAATTAGTGACAGCGCTGTTGTTGCCGCAGATCGCCATGTTGGTTTTTGTTGTTTGTTCTTATCGCCGCAAGATCAAGCTGGTAAGCCTCAAAGATTAAATTATTCATTAATTAATTGCATTATATTCGTTTATTAATTCATAACGTTGTCACTCGACGCCGATCTAAACCTTATATGGCGCAGTCAACAGTGAAAAGAACATTTCATTAACAAAATTGTTAATATTAAACTTTTAGAACTTTGTTTCACCCGTCGCCATTAACAACGAGCAAAAATCAAGAGTTTAAATTGTTCAAATGTATTAAACAAAAGATATAAATTCATAAAAGTTATAAATTCGAAGAAGTAGATTATTACTAATATCGTAAATTATAAATAGAAAAAGAATTAATTTTAACGTTGAAATTTGCTCACTGTTACGTAGGCCTGACACTCTTCAGTCATTTCTCGCCAAGAACGCTAAATAGATCTCGCCAAGATCGGTTGCTTATCAACACGAGCATTTGTTATAAATTCACATTTCCGGTGAAAGTTGAAAACTTCACTTCAGAATTATGACAACCATAAATGACGAGTTGAACTCTTTAACGTCAGAAGATATAAAACACTTTACTGTCGCCCAGTTGAAAGCTGATTTACGTTTGCGAAATCTTTCTTTACTTGGAAGCAAAGACTGTTTAATTTCTCGCATCATGGATGATAATATAAAAAGAAAACAGCAGGGAAATTTAGATGAACTCACTACTCTTAGGATGCAATCGAGTGACAAAGATGATGACGCTAAAATAATTCCTGACAGAGCAGAATTATTAAAGCAAATCCAACTGTTACAAAAACAAGTCAAAACCCTAAATAATCGCAACAATACGCCACAAATTCCTGCACCTACTTCGCAACTGGATCCTAATATTGCCGCAGTCCTGACCACGCTAATGGAATCCCAAAAACAGTTGATTGAAAGACAAATAAATTCGCCAAGTACTATTCAAATCACGTCAACTAATGACACGGCAAATTCCATTCCGATATTTCGTGGTGATATGATTGATAATGCGCTCGAGTGGCTAAACGAGGTTGAAAGAATTTCAACATTGGCAAACTGGACTGATGAACTCAAATTGACTAATACTATCTCACGTCTCGCTGGATCTGCTAGAAATTGGCAATTAACTCAAGGTAACTGTTACAATAATTGGATAGAATGGAAAGTTGCCCTTACATCAAGATTTAAAAGACGTATTACCATGCAAGAATTTTTAGCTTATCAAGCTGATCGGAAACTGAAAAGGAACGAAAGCTTGGTTGATTACATATATGCCAAAGAGGCTCTCTTGGAAAAAGCTCCTTTTACTATCCCACAGCCAGATCGAATTTCAATGATCATTGGTGACATCACTGGAGAAAAATGGCCAACAAACCTTATATATGGAATTTTATAACTACTGCCAAATGTATCTGCATTGCAGACACTTATGAATATAGTATGGTTACAGTTACAGTAGGAAGATTATAATGTGTAAAAATGTGTATTATTGTATATTAAAACAACAGATAACTACTGTCTATTGGCATTAAACCCTTGGCATTAAACTATTGGCATTAAGCACTTTCAACATTTTACATTTTTATCAATGTCATCTTCAGAATGTTAAAATTTCAAAAAAGAATAACATTAAATATTCAAAAAGGAATTCATATTTTTTCTAAGTTAAATTTAAACCAACATAAACATGAAAACAGCATGACAATAGAGATAAATTAGTATGAAATAACAATAAAATTACATAAAATAATAAGATAAACATTTACATGTCGTTAGTAAATTTAGAATTACAGCAAACAGGTAATACCATGACAACGAAAATGTTAAATGCCCAAATTTCTAAAAAGTGATATGCAAATTCTTGGAAAGTCCAACATAGATTTATTACATGTTCCATTCTTTCAATAAATAATAAAATCAGATAAAAGTAACTTTTTTGTCAATACATTGCATTAACAGTAAAGTCTCATTGCATTTTGCCACATGATTCCTTTCCACCACACTCCTAGAAAGTTCTGTAGTACACTTGTCACAGATATCATTCTGGTGTTCAGTAAGAGAAATTTGTAATTTTCTTGTCGTGGCATGATGTAAAAAGAAAATATTTGCATTGCTGTCTGGCTATTTTAATGAAACCAAATAAACTCCCAATTTTTCTAGTGGGGAAAATATACCTCTGTCAATGCAAAGGAGACTGTGCAAGGTTATTTGCAGTTTAATCAGACAAATAAGCCCACATTTCTTAAAAATTTTGATGATGCATAATGAAATGGCCCTAGTTATAGAATGAAAATGTAAATTTCTCACTTTCTGCAATCAATGCTGTGGGCAGAAAGAGCGAGACACATACCCAGTTATTATGTTTAAATTTTGCATGCGTATATCCTACTTTGCAAGTTGCTGTTGCTATAATGTTGTAGGCTATGGTCATCGGGCACTATAGTGTTTGTCTGGTCGAAGTGGTTGCATCTCGATCGATATAAGTCTGACCACATAAGTTGCCAGAGGAAAGAGTGAGTTCTGTGTTGCTGATGTCACTTCTACACAAGACCCTCTGGTGGTGTCCATAGGCATTCGCACCCTCAATGTGTAATTCATTACATATTAAGTAGTGAGAGGATGAAAGTAGATAATTCTGTGTCTATAGTATCATTAATTGTAATTGTTGTGTTTATGTTTACAATGGTGCATGGTTATGTTGTGTTCATTTTTGTTTGTGACTGTTTGAGTTATTTTTTGATGAGTGTCTGAAGTTTTAATATGATCTAGTGTTTCTGTTTGCTAATATATATAATAAAGATGAACTAAACATTGTGGTTATTCAACTAAATTAGAATGTACCTTTAATAATGGAAAAAGTTTAAATAATACTATATTTTCAATTCAGTTAATGCTATCTTTAAATGTGGTCAGTTGAAAATTAAATATCAGTTGGTAAGGAAGAAAGATGGGATAAATCAAGTGGAAAGTGGACTCTGACAATGACAACTAATGTCAATCACCACCATTCACATGGTCCACTTGAAATTACCTCCGATGGCTATTTAAAACTGTGAATATAAGATGTCACTAATTTTACGATGCATCTCAGTTACAGACAAGCAAAAATGAATTAAATAATAAAAATATTTTAGAATCAAGGAAATAAAATATATATTTATATATAATAATTTTCTTACTCTAATTTGTTCTCCATCAAACTGTTCTTGACTATATTTACGTTGCATTGTTGGACTTGACAAAGTAGAACTAACATCTTGCATGTGGACAATAGGAATTTTATCTGGATTTTCTTTAAGCTGATGTACAATTTCCTGTATTTGTTCAATAAATAAACTAGCATGTTTTTCAGCTAATAAATTGGTGATTACCTAGAATAAAATAATTTCCTAATTAAATTTATTTTTAATAATAGAAATGACTATCCATATGTAACAATTTAATGATAGAAATATCTATATTTATATTAAAATATCACCTCAATCTTAATCAATCTCCATAAAACTTCATAAGTTAAAGAAACAAACTAGGATTGAGCTTGATGAGACAATGGCTGTAAACTGAACATATCATACTAACCAGAGCAGACAAGTAAAGAGAGATAGTTATAACGTAAATTTTTAATTTGAGAAATAATTATACTCAAAAAAGGAAACTTGAGTATAAGAATATATGAATAAGAATGTTAGAAACTTGGAAAGTTATACAGAAGAAACAGGCTATAAAGAAATAGACAGAAATTCCATAAAGAATGTGGAAACAAAATTGAAAAAGTTATTGAAACACCTGTCCAGATGCTATGAAAGGGGCCATAACTACAGTAGCTAGTCCTCCAAAACTATTTGCATAAGTTAAAATCTACAGGAAATATTGGGATCTTAGATAAATAATAAAAAAGCGTAGTTCTTCTAGATATATGCTGAAAGAAACATTGGCAGCATGACTAAGGGCAATATCCATCAATGGTTAAAAACAGTTATGTCCTAAAGAAAATGTTGATTTAACTGATATTAAGAGAGGACTATCTCACTACAGTAGAGTTTGAATTGCTATATTGAAAACAACAATTAAAACTAGTTGAGATAAGAGTGAGCATTCCACTATGAGAAAAACAACTTACTCCAACATCCACAATTTAAGAAAATAAAGTTTAAAATAATATCCAATATTTTACACATCATAATTTTTGAATTAAATTTTAAATCCAATGGAAAATTTTATATACATTAGACAGGGGTCCAAATTAACTGGTCCAAGCAGAAACTTTGGCAGAACTGATAGTGAGAGAAGTAGAGGCAGAGGTGTT